GGCGCGGGCTGCGCCCCGGCATCGGCCCGCTCACTCGCTGCCCGCCTCTCCTTCCCCGCGTGGGGTCGGGAGCCGGGAGGCCAGGGATGGTGTGCCCTGGCCAGGGGGGAAGGCGCTGCGCTCCTCCACTTGGCTCCAGTTTAGCTTCTTCCCGTGCCAGTCCCCCGCCACCCAGTCCCACCTAGAATCTGGGTCCCGCGCTGGCATTGGGGTGGAACCTGTCGCTAGAGTAGCTGAAGCCTTTCTAGTAGCCATCACCTCTCCCCTTTCCTCCATACTCGGGAACGAAGTTGGGGCTCCAGGTTAAGACGTGCACCCTTGGGTTCTAACAAGGACTGGCTTCTTGAGCTAGCCCGTCAGGACTTGCCTGGCTCTGTCCTTTTCTGTAAAATAAAATAAATAAAATAAAATGAATTTTTGGAGGCTTGAGATGATCACGCACATGACACAGTTGTAAATGTCCAGGTCCTTTGAGTCACCGGCAAACAGGGTAGGTCTTCAGCCTACAAATAGATTGCTTTTAACTTGGCGCATTCATTCATGAGTTTTCCACTCCCTATCTCCGAGGTGAACCTTGTTTCACATTTAAGATTGAGTTGATAAAGGACCCCCTACTCCACATAAAGCTAGAAAAGGGCAACGTGTGGGAGTGTTTCATACTTTTCTGACCTTTTAGGCTGGATGGTTTAAGAAGTTAGGTCAGAGAATAGATGACTTTAGATGATTTATATATATATTTAAACTTTTTGCTTATCAAATTTCATTATCTAAGTAGTGCAAAGACTTCCAAGTATTCCTACCAGCTTGCACTTTGAACTACCCCAGCGAAGCACTTAGCCCAAGGTCAAGGTCAGTGCCTTGGTGTAGGAGAGTCTAAGTCATCTGGTTCTGATTTTTCTGGTTTGTACTGTTGCTGAGATTCATTGTCAGTTCTGGCTTAGAGACAGTTTCCTCTGGAAGTTGATATTAATGAAACTCGTGTAACCCAAGTTGCAAACCCCTGTGACAGAGGTGCCACCTTGTATCATGAAACAGTAAACAGTAGTGATTTTGTGTGTGTGTGTGCGCGCATGTGCGTGTGCGCCAATCCTGGGGTTTGAACTTGGGGCCCAGCCACTGCTCCGGAGTCTTTTTGAGCTCAAGGCTAGCACTCTACCATTGGAGCCACAGCACCACTTCCAGCATTTTCCGAGTAGTTTATTGGAGATGAGTCTCACGGACTGTCTTGTCTGGGTTGACTTTGAACCACAATCCTCGGATCTCAGCCTCTTGAGTAGCTAGGATTATAGGCAGGAGCCACCAGCACCTGGCTCATCATAGTGATTTTAAGGACCAAAACTTTAGAGTTGATGAGATGATCTTTGATAAAATGAGTCTATGAGAGAATCTGTGTGTCAAGGCATTACAGAAAATAGAACAATTTCCAGCTATTAAAGATTCAAGTTAAAACCTAGAAACTGTGGGCTGGCTTTATGAAAACTTCCTGGGGAATTAGACCAAAAACAGGACTAAATAGGTTGGGATTTATTTTGCTTTAGCATAGGTATACTTTAGAATCAAGGAAATACTAGCCTGTTCCAGTGTTGACTTCCTTAACTGGAGGAAACTAACATGGTTTTACTAAGACAAAAACATGTTCTGGAAACCATGCATGAAAGGCCTTTGGAAGTCATTCTGTGTTTTAACACCCTCTTGTATTTAAAATGGGAAACTACTTCTGAGGTGTTATTTGACTCAGTGTTGTTGTCTATAGCTGTCTGTAACTGTCTGTAACTGTCTGGGACTGGATCAACTCATTACTTGCATATTTGTTGTAAATGCCATGCTGTTGGTTTGCATTAATACTTCTGGATTTTGTTTTCTGAGACTAAATGTAACCTGTTCTGCTCAGATTTCTTAGACAAGGGAGAACCTAATCAAAATGTGCTTAAAATACTGTTGTACTTATAGAGTACATCTCAAGGAGCTTTTGGCTTGGCAAGCTTGGAGACGAACTCTATCCTCTTTCCTTTCTTATCAGGGTGTATATTTGACTATGCCTCTATTTTCAGGTCAAGGACTATTTTTAAATCAGCTTGCACATTGGAGGTGCATTAATGTTAATATTTGGTCCATTTAAACTCTTCAAGTGCCTTTTCTGTTCAAGTTCCGGTAGAAGTAAAAATCTTGAGGAATTATGGAAGTGGAGGAGGTGTTTTTTTGTGACTGTTACAGTACAGGCCCAGGCCTTGACATTTTGTAGACTGCATAATGGTGCTACCACTATTGCCACTGTTCAGGACTTGGGGACATAAGCCTAAAGGGTCTGTATTCCTGAGAATTAGTAAGTAAAAACAAAACCACTTGTTGCATTCAGGGGAATGTTCCTGGGGTTAATTTCTGGAGTGGTTCTGGGAAGATGAAGAGTGTGTGAGGATTACCACCCTCAAGGAGTCCATCCCACCAAATGAATTAGATTTATTAGACATCTGTGGTGGGCCTGGATAGAGTCTATAGAAAAAGCTTTGAAGAGGATGTGACAGTTGAACTGGGAATGAAAGATTTCTGGAAATTAAGCCACTAGGCAGGGCAGTCCAGGCAAGAGGCATTCAGAACTGTTTCTTGAACCAGCATTATTCTAAGCACAGAACACTGAAAGTTTAGAAAACCTAAAGCATAAACTGGCATAAACATGCCAAATGGAGTTGGAAGCTCAGGAACCTTGTGAGATTGGGTTTTATTCCTTGAAGCTATTTCAAAGTGCTTTTCTGTCTGTTTTGTTTTTCTCTTTGAGACGGAGTCTTTCTGTGTAGCTCAGTCTGGCCTTGAACTCACAACCCTTCTACCTCAGCCTCTTGAGTGCTGGGATTATGAGTGCATATCACCACACACAGCTCATCTCTGAGTTTTCCAGAGGCATTATCTTTATTGCTCTTGCAACGATCTTAAGAAAGGACTGGGGCTTACAGAAATGTAAAAGAGGTAGTGAAATTGGAGTAGAGGGGACATGTATTTCAGGTAGTGATGAGGGATTTAGACTAGGTATGACTAGTGAAAGAAGAAGAGGAGGATGGGAAACACATTTTGATAGATGATTAAAGACACTTACAGGAAAGAAGTAAACATTGAAAAGCTAGTTAGTTGGGGAGTGTGCTTGGGAGAGTAGGGTTAGGAGGATGTCATTTCTAACATAGGTTAAGCAATGGAGCTTAAGTGACAAGTGGCTAATGGGGGTGGTGGAAGCTGAAATGGAAGGGTGGGACTGGGGATATTTAATCCTTTTTAGAATAGGGGGGAGTGGAACGAACTGAAGACAGTTTTGGCACATTTGAAAAAGAGTTGAAGATGCAGGGAGTGACCATGAGAGTGAAGGTTCTGGGGCTGCTGATACTAGAAGGACTCAGGTATGGAACAGTGAGATTAGCCAGAGGCTTTAGTAGAAGCCAGGGCTTTCTTAGTGAGATGTTCGCCATTGCTGGGAAGCAGCATTGGAAACAGTTGGAGAGGACAGTTGGAGAGGATTCTCTCCTTTAGTGAATCGGAAATAAGTGTTTCTGTGACAAAGAACTCACGTGAAAGTACCACTGAGGATGGGTTGGACCTAGCAGAAAAAAAGCAGACATTGGGGGAAGAAAACCTCCTTTGAGGGAAAAAAAAGAATGCAGAAATCGAGGGTGGACACAGAAACATTTTGAGAAACAGAAGAGGGACACTCAAAGTGTTTGAGCTTCTTGATTTTCTCAGTAAGGTAGGGACTCAAAATCAATGAGCTTTAAGAGCTCTTAGTTACTGCTCAGTTTAAGCTGGCATGTATTTGTAGTACCGTTTTTAAGGCACATCATATGAAATGACCAAGAATTAGCAAACTCGGGGAAGAGTTGGACATCTTTATTTCAGAGAAAATTAATATAGTTAATATTATTTTTTTTGGTCTGGTCATGGGGCCTGAACTCTGAGCCTGGACACTGTCCCTCAGCTCAAGGCTAGCTCTCTACCACTTGAGCCACAGCACCACTTTCGGTTTTTTCTTTTTTTCTTATGTGGTGCTGAGAAATCGAACCTAGGGCCTTATGCATGCAAGGCAAGTGCTCTAACACTGAGCCACCTTCCCAGCCCCGGTTAATATAATTTTTAACTCAGCAGTAAGTCATACTAATTGATGCTCATAGACTTAGAGTGGCATGGAGTTCACAGAGAACTTCTTATCCTTTATTTGCTGCTCCCAGTGGTAGGACTTCCCTACTTAATAGCTAAGAAGAAGGATGCTTGCAAATACCTTAGAGTAGGATAAGTAAAGTGGTTTTTTTTTTTTTTTCTGCCCATACTGGCATAGAAAGCTTAGCCTTTTTGCTCAAGTCTAGTGATCTACCACTTGAACAACGCCTCTACTTTTGGATTGTTGATAATTAATTGGGCATAAGAGCCTTGGATTTGCCCAAGGTGACTCTGAATTGGGATCCTTGGGTCTCAGCCTACTGAGTAGCTAGGATTACAGGCATGGTACCCCAGAGGAAATATGGTTTAAGGTGTATCTATCAAGGTGGGAACTTGGTAGGACTGGGTAAGAATCACTGTATAACAGTTTGGAATTTGTATAAAAAAGAACCAGGTAGGAATTTTTTTTGGGGGGGGTAGAGGGTCGAGGGGCTTGAACTCTGGGAAGAGTCTCAGGGATAGCACTCTTCCACTTGAGCCACAGCACCACTTCTGGCTTTTTCTGCTTATGTGGTGCTGAGGAATCAAACCCAGGGTTTCATGCATGCAAGGCAAGTGTTCTACCACTAAGCCACATTCCCATCCCCCAGGTAGAGATTTTGAGGGAAGAGGTTTCTAGCTCCTTAGGATAAAACTTCCCTTGGGCACTTCTTAATTGAAGATCAGGTGAGTCATTCAGAAGTTCCTTCCTTACTTTTCACAGAAACACTGACTTCCTGAACAGAGCCTTTAGGAATAGAAAAGTTAATGTTACTAGATAAATTCTAAAGTCATGTAAATGTAGACAGGCTCTGTAGAGATGAGTGGCATATTTTCATTTTAAAGTATGATTTATATTGGCAATTTTGGACGTACAGCCTCCTGTTTCTAAATGCATTTTTTGCATGCATAACATTTTTTTTATTTATACACATTGTTAAGGTAATTTTTCCAATATATCACAATACAGTGATAACAATGAAATAGCAGTATTTCTTCTAAGATGCTTATTGAAACTTTCATATTTGTTCTAAGTATTATTTATTTTAATCTTCATTACTGCTGTGATTTAAGTATTTCATTACCTCCACTTTATCAGTGAGCAAATTAAGGCTTTAGAATTTAATTTATTTTCTAAATTTACACAACTAAGTCTAGGTTTCTGGACACAAAGACTGTGGTAGTAGTTTTTTTTTAAACCATATCCTTAGTTTACTAAATATGTTCTGAAACATTCTGTGAAAATGTCATTAACGAAAACATCATTGTTCTTGTGGCTACTCTTTACAGAGTTTCATCTGACAGCATACTAATGCAACAAATTGTTAAAATTCAACTTTTCAATGCATTTCTTATGTGCTGTTTGTACTTGGCTTTAGACAACTCCTTTCGTATATTGTGAGTTTCCCATGGGATGGTAGGATGTTATCAGCTGTTTTGCATGTGTAGACAATGGACTTTATTTTGTTTATTTTGTCATGAATGCACTGAGAGAGGTGAGGCAATTTAAATGGTGTTTCAGAAATTGTCTCATGAAGACACATCTTAACAGTACACAGTATAGTGTAATTACTCTTTGTGTAAATTTCTGTAAAATAGGCTATTATATTTTTCATGGCTAACATAGTTAAAACAGTGGTTTGGCATATTTGTTTTCCTTTAGCCATTCCATATTTGGAAATATTTTTTTAAAAACAAATCTTAGAGAAACTCACAAGGAACTTATACTTTCTGAGGTTTGATTTGGTGTTTGCATTAGCTAAATTCTTGTCGGATGCCTGCCTTGAGCGAGGCTCTAATCACATATCGCCTATTTTGTGCTGTACCTTCCAGAGAAAGGGTGGAGCCAGGATTACTTATTGCTCAATAGCTAATTACAGAGTATACTGAACTATTAGATTGTGGACTTCCCTTGCACACAGTAATGAAACGAAAGTAATTTTATTTTTATTTTCATTTTTTTGGTCCAGTTGTGGGGCCTGAACTCTGAGCCTGGGCCCTGTCCCTCAGCTCTTCAGCTCAAGGCTAGCGCTCTACCGCTTGAGCCACAGTGCCACTTCCAGCTTTTTTCTTTTTGCTTATGTGGTGCCGAGGAATCAAACCCAGGGCCTCATGCATGCAAGGCAAGCTCTCTACCACTGAGCGACCTTCCCAGCCCAGAAAGTAATTTATTAGTATAAAATAAGGTATAGTTTACAAAACAAAATAACTTGCTAATACATAATACCAATGTGAACATCTTAAAAATGATGTAGACAAGGGAGATAGCTTTCATTTATAGCTAAAGAAAATTAAAAAAAAACTCTGGTGTCTTGCTCAGAATCACAAATTATGTAGAGGTGAGATTTATCTTAAATTCTCTGACTATAAAATACAAAATTTTTTTACCTTTCTAAAAGTAATGGACATTTTTCCTTATGAAAAATTTTACAGTTATTTTTGTTTGATTTTTTTGGACTAATTTGACTTTTCTGATCCTATAAAATGTCAAAATCCTTTAATTCTGTGACCCAAGGCAACTGTATTTAAATCAAACAAATGTTTCACGTATTCCTTACCCAAAGCACAGTTCAGTAGGAGAAGAATGGATTGGCTTTTATTTCATTTTGTAGCTCTTCTCACTTTGAACCACTTACCTGGGAAATGTTTCAGAATTTAGAGAGAAAGATGCTTCATGCTGAAGTGAAGAAGAGTGAATTTCCTGAATGAGTTAAGAGAGGAAAAAAAACTTCCCTCCACCCTTCTAACTTCTTTTACTGGGATACAAATTAAATTGACATAGAGCAGAAATACAGGAGTCCTGGAGAATAGGTGGATACTGTGGTCAAATGCTGGGGCTTACATATCACTCTGAGCCTTCTGTGGGGGGTGGCGGAGGTGGTGGGCGGGGGCACGAATAGTGACTAAAGGTTGTCCTGGTGCACAGATAAAGACTAGCAATAAAGTTGTCTGGATCCTCCTCCTCTCTGATACAGATACTTTTCCAATATAGATTTCCTTAATAGATATAAATGGTTTTTATGACAGGACAGCTTTTAGAAGCCATTACTGTACCTGTAATTCCTTATAGTGACTAGTTGAAAATAGTCCAAAGAAATTTATTTGGGTTTGTCATATTTTTGGGGTATATCTCAAGCCCCAACAGGGCCAGGTTACCTAGTTTTATAAATATTTCTTTTTCCACAGAGGTCAGAGTTATTTTTCATGTTATTATAATCAAATTCTTTTTTTAAAACATAAAAGTGAAAGGCATAGGGGAGGAGAAACAGAGTCTCTTCCTGTGCAAGGAATTCATGCTTCTGGAAATCTAAGCTCTATTTTGCACTTTTCAGCTGGGAAACCAGCATAGGTTTTTCTGCTTCCTGGCTGCTTCTTGTGGCTTATTCATTTGCCAGGTTCTAGGCCCCCTTGCAGCGCTATGTAAGGAGCCTGGAGCCATTCTAACTTCTCATCTGGCTGGCCAAGAGCTGGCCTACCACCTTGGCAGTTCAGATTGGGCACAGTGTTAGCATTCTGTCCCAACTAAGTCATCTCAAATACATCATGGTGCTGAAGGGAAGAAATAATTTATTAAGTCCATCTAGGATTTAGCTTTTCACCTCAGTATACAAAGGTCTAGTTAGGAGAACAAGAATATATTCTGTGTGTGTGTGTGTCCATGTGTCCATGTGTGTGTGTGTGTGTCCGTCCGTGTCCGTCCGTGTCTGTGTCCATGCCCCGTGTGTTCGTGTTCGTGTTCTTTAGGGTTGTGTGGTTTTCTTTCCACCCATTGTGCTTGCATTTGAACTTGTTTCAAGGTGGAAGCTTTTTGAACAGCCCTATAGGAGACTTTTTGTGTAGAGTTTAATGAATACAAAGATCCCTGGAATTCTGCATGCAATAAAACTATTTGTAGTAATTTGTACTGTGTTTAACAAACAAGGGTTTGATATAAAAGGGTAGTGTATAAGGAACACCTAGGGACTTCACAGCTACTTGCTTAGGAGACTTAGTTTGAATTTTACTTTTACTGTTGCTTTCTTCCTTCTCTTGCTAGTTCGCAACATTTGTTTATATCCTTGTAGTAGTTTAGAATCTTTTCTTGAGTGCTTGCTTGACATAAGCCTCACCATTTTAAGGGTAGCTACCCTCTTACAAAAAGCTATTTTAGTTAAATTACATCCTCTTATAAGAATTGCTGGGCTGGAAAGGTGGCTCAGTGGTAGAGTGCTTGCCTTGTATGCATGAGGCCCTGGGTTTGATTCCTCAGCACAATATAAACAGAAAAAGCTGCAAGTGTTACCGTGGCTCAAGTGGTAGAGCACTAGCCTTGAGCT